AAAAAAAAAAAAAAAACTAATAAAATAAGACTTCTGAATTCCCCCTGTAACTTATTGAGAGCTCAATTTCTCAGGCTTCCTTTTCAGTATACAGGAAATAAAGTGCTGGAAGAAACACCATTGAAACCAGGAAACTAAAGGCAGAGGAAATGCAGGACTCTTAACTCTTCTGGTGTGCTAATGAAAGTGTTAGCTTTCAGATGACATTGACAGATGTCAACATGACAAACATATGTGTTTGTTTCCCTGTTAAAATTCAAGTGCTTGGCATTCCTTGTTTTCATTATGTTGAGAGACAGTGAGATTAAGGGCCCAGACCTGCCTTGTTGCCTGGTGTGCGTTTGGTTCTGCCTTCCCAGCTGCAGGACGTTGACAGGTTCCTCAGTTGTCATTGCTCATCTCTGAAAATGAGGATATCTGCTGGGGTCGTTAGAAAACAGAATTGTACACAGCAAGTACAATATAAGTATGAACCGTGATAATTATTGCTGTGGTTGTTACCAGTGACTTATTTATTTTTTTAAGATTTTATTTGTTAAAGGGGCGCCTGGGTGGCTCAGTTGGTTAAGTGTCCGCCTTCAGCTCAGGTCATGATCCCAGTGTCCTGGGATTAAGGCCCACATCAGGCTGTCTGCTCAGTGGGAGCCTGCTTCTTCCTTTGCTGCTCCCCCTGCTTGTATTCTCTTTCTCTGTCAAATAAATAAATAAAATCTTAAAAAAAAAAGATTTTATTAGATCGTGTGCATGAGCCGGGGGAGGGGCAGAGGGAGAGGGAGAAGCAGACTCCCCGGTGAGCAGAGAGCACGACACAGAGCTCAGTCCCAGAACCCTGAGATCGTGACCTGAGCTGAAGGCAGACGCTTAACTGACGGAGCCACTCAAGCACCCCGTAACCAGTGACTTTAAAAAGATACGAACTTTCCAAGCTGATTTTTCCTATCTCGTCGCAATTTCATGGCACAAAACGATGCTCTAAAATGAAAACAAAACCTGAGATATTTGACGTGTGCTTGGTTGTGTTGAAAGTTTAAACACAGTTGTCATACTCAGCCAAGCTACATCATCACCACGGCAGCTGAGCTTTCCCCTTACTGCTGCTTTGTCAGTGCTTTTTGTTATCAGAACTTCCTACTCTTCTTTAATCTTCCCTTTGTCTTACTCTCTTGTGAGCACATTGCCACATTATTCTCATTGAGCACAATGCCCTTTGCATAATCTTTTCCTTTCCCCAAAAATGTCTTGATGAAAATTTGCATTTGAAATATAGACCTAGCAATTGTTAGGTTATAAACATCTAATTAATTGGGTTCTTTGCAGGTATATATGGTGCTGGTTGTCTCATTACGGAAGGATGCCGTGGAGAGGGAGGCATTCTCATTAACAGTCAAGGCGAAAGGTTCATGGAGCGATATGCCCCGGTTGCAAAGGACCTGGCGTCCAGAGACGTTGTGTCTCGGTCCATGACTCTGGAAATCCGTGAAGGAAGGTCTGTGTGATCATCTCCAAAGGTGTCCGCACACATGCACACACGCACCCCTCCTTTCTCTTTTGGTGGGTGCTGTTCGTGTCTACGTTCTAACATGGGCTGGTGTGACTTGTGTGTGAGTTTCAGCACCCCGTCCCATGCTACCCCACCCAACTCTGTAGGCTGCGTGCAGCTACCTACTGCCCTGTGACTGTCAGTTTATGATACTGCTCTAAAGGCCAGCATTTTGGGGAGTTTGGCTGAATGTTGTGATAGAGACAGACATGCCCGCAACCTGAAGTTAGCATGTGGACCTTTGATGCTGTTTCAGGACCGTCAGGGTGTGGGCTCTTGTTCATTGAAGCAGCGTTAGCTCTTCACTGCCAACGCTGCCTTACTGTGCTGATGCTGGTCAAATTTTTGGTGTTAACAGCCTCTAGACACTTTATATTTGCAGTATTTATATTGAAAGGACTTCCTATCAAGGAAAACACATTGTGACTTCCCAAGACTGGTGTGTGAGCCTAGTGAGGGCAGGATATCTTGTCCATGTTCTGGCTGTGTCCCACCATGTGGAGTCCACCCTGGCACATAGTAGGTGCTCAGAAAAGACGTGAAGAATGGATGACCACAAGTGAGGGGAAATTTTGTACAGCATAGTGGAACTTGATACGCTTCAATGACTTTGTGGTCTCACATTTTCTTTTTTTTTTAAGATTTTATTTATATATTTGACAGAGACATAGTGAGAGAGAGAGCACAAGCAGGGGGAGTGGGAGAGGGAGAAGCAGGCTTCCCGCCGAGCAGGGAGCCCGATGTGGGGCTCGATCCCAGGACCCTGGGATCATGACCTGAGCCGAAGGCAGACGCTTAACGACTGAGCCACCCAGGCGCCCCTCTGGTCTCACATTTTCTGTATTTACCTTTCTTTGCCTCACACCATGATGTCCTTTTCCACCAGAGGCTGTGGCCCTGAGAAAGATCACGTCTACCTGCAGTTGCACCACCTACCCCCCGAGCAGCTGGCCATACGCCTGCCTGGCATTTCGGAGACGGCCATGATCTTCGCAGGCGTGGATGTCACCAAGGAGCCGATCCCTGTCCTTCCCACTGTGCATTATAATATGGGTGGTATTCCCACCAACTACAAGGGGCAGGTGACCAAGCCCGGGCCCTTCCGTGGTGGGGAAGAGGGCAGGAACGATGGGCCCACCTCACAGTTGTCCCTTGCGAACTCGGGAGAAGACATGGTTTCCTCAGAAAGCACTGAGTTGCTGTTGGAGGGCACAGTGGGGCTCGGGCACGTACCAGTATTTGCTTTCACTCTGTAATAACGAGCAGTCACTGGTAACTTACTGATCCCTCTGTAGTACACAGTCGTAGATGGGATATCATTTGCAGCTTTTCCCAGTTTATAATTTATTTTCTTATATGATCTCTTGTTACTTTTACGGTGACCTTGTAATTCGTATTCTCTTTACAACAAATACTTTCAAGTGGTTTGCAGTCCACCCAGATTTTGTTTTGGCCTCTCCTCAGGCAAGGTGACGGGGGATCTCCTTCTCTCTTTATAGACAAATTATACGCCATACTCCCTTCCCTTCATTTGAATCCAGAGTCAGAGTATGGAAGTGAGGGGGTCAGTCAGAGGTGGTGAGTGAGGTTTCTAATGAGCCGTAGCTGTGGGATTGAAATCACAGGTGCTGCCGTGTGGGGTCCTTGGACCGATCTCTGCCTGGGGTGGCCGAGTATCCGGGCGCACACTCGGTCAGAGGGTTCCCTGTAGACGAGAGCAGATCCAGTCCTTACCTGCCCTCCTTCCTCTGAACCTGCATGCGGATGCCCCACTACTGGGAAGCGGGGCTGTGCAGATTGTGCTCCTGAAGTCTTCAGTCTTCCTTCCACAGGTCCTGAGGCACGTGAACGGCCAGGATCAGATCGTGCCCGGCCTATATGCCTGTGGGGAGGCCGCCTGCGCCTCGGTGCACGGTGCCAACCGTCTCGGGGCAAACTCGCTCTTGGACCTGGTCGTCTTTGGCCGGGCGTGTGCTCTGAGTATTGCAGAGTCCTGCAGACCTGGTATGTGTTTTCTTCAAGTAGCCAGGCTGTCGGGAGGTGAGAGGTTACCATGTCTTGATTTGTAATTGGAAATTTGCTTAGTGATCGTGGAGGGGTAGTCTGTTTTTCCCCCCTATGAGTGAGGAAGCAGAGTGATTCAGAGATTTATATGGTGACAGAGACTAGACATAGGCTGGGTGAGAGTCTTAACAGTTTAGAGGGTAACCTGGTTTTGGTCAGATTTTGTTTTGTAGTCATTATGTTCTCTTTAGGAAAGTCACCATGAAGGAGTTGTTTTTTGTTTTTTGTTATTTTATTATGTTAGTCACCGTACAATACCTCATTAGTTTTTGATGTAGTGTTCCATGATTCCTTGTTTGCGTATAACACCCAGTGCTCCATGCAGTACGTGCCCTCTTTAATACCCGTCACCGGGCTAACCCATCCCCCTACCCCAAGGAGTTGTTTTGAGAGGAAGTTTATCACATAGTGCTTGCTCGTTATAAATTACTTGAAATGAAATATTTTAAAAATGAATATGTATAAGTTCTCAGTAGTTATGGAAAAGTAATTTAGGTTCTAAAAAATATATATAAATAATCTGTTAAAGCAGAACATAATGCACACAAAACAAAGGATTGGGTCACAGCTCTCCCTGCAGTGACACAGTGGTTTTCAGTCAGTGATTGTGTTCTTCTAGTAACTTAAAATAATTTGCTGAGGCAATATGTGCTGGAAGCGCGAGTCCCACTATGAACAGGACACTTACTGTTGAAATGAGCTCCCAGAGGGTCCGTGTAGGTTACCGTGGCCCATTTGCTCAGAACAACAGGTGAGATGAGACTCTGTTCCCGAGGGGAGGGTGGTGGGAATCCCTGGGCCCCTGTTCTTCCCCTTATGCTTCCCTGGTGGTAACCGTTTAGTCTCAGTTCTGCTGTTTTTATTGAACAAAAGCTTTTTGTATGGATTTTAAGTTGGCGGAAGTCTTACTATCCTATTAGTGAAACACAGCCCTCACTCAGTATAACATGCCACACTCCCCTTTACATCTGCAGTCAGCAGATACATGTAATGAAAAGGACAGTTCGTTTTCAGACACCTTCTCCCTTGCTCTGACTGCAAGTCCAGGCTGATAGGCAGAGGTGGGGCACTGTCCCCGTCTTTGCTACAAAAGGGGTCAAAACCACCTTGTCTGACACCAGACCTAGTGCTCATTCCATTGTACTGGTGAAGCCTGAAATCAAATCTCAGAGCAAAGCAGGAAATTCGAGGTTCCCTTTCTTTGAAAATGAGAAAAAGGAAGTTTTGTAAAAGTATCTTGTACTTTTGTATCTGAAAGGTCAGTGCACACTGTAAAAAAAAAATTTTAAGTCAGCAATAAAAAAAAGGAACAAACTACTTGTACATGCAACAACACGAATGGATATCAGACGTATTAGGTTGTATGATCCGGGCTCAAGAGGCTACATACATCTGATTTTATTTGTATAACATAATGGAAGAGACAAAACTAGAGAATAAGGTGGCTTGCTGGTCACCATCCTAATCATGGTGGGCCTTGTGCAACTCTGGCAAAATGTGCAAAACTACACCAAAAATGATACTATGCCTTAATTATATTTTAACTTTTAAAAACAAAAATAAGGGAAAGAAAAGCACTGCTACATCCTCCCAAATGTTGATTATTTTTTTTTTTTTTAAGATTTTATTTATTTATTTGACAGAGAGATAGCACAAGTAGGCAGAGCGGCAGGCGGAGGGAGAGGGAGAAGCAGGCTCTCCGCACAGCAGGGAGCCTGATGCGGGGCTCAATCCCAGGACCCCGGGATCATGACCTGAGCCGAAGGCAGCCGCTTAATCGACTGAGCCACCCAGGCGCCCCAAATGTTGAATATTTTAAACATTTTGTACCCTAATAATGTATTTTATGCTGTACCTTAATTATGATGGTTACAGGAACCCATATATGTGTCGATATTTGTAGAACTGTGCACCTAAAGAAAAATAATTTTGGTAAATGATCACTTTTTAACTTTTATTTTTAAGTAGGCTCCACACTGTGGAGCCCAACACAGGGCCTGAACTCATGACCCTGAGATCAAGACCTGAGCTGAGACCAAGAATCACATGCGTAACCAACCGAGCCACCCAGGAGCCCCAAATGATCCCTTTTTTAAAAAACACTACAAACAAAAGCAGAGGAAACCGCAGCTGGCCTGGAAGAGCTGGGGTGGGTCACATGAAAGACCGGTGCCCTCACTCCTTGCAGAGAGTGGCTGTGAGCAATCCTACTTTACCTGCAAACCTTTGTTTCCTCATTTCATACCCTCTGCCCGTATTACCTATTGAAGAAAATACATTTCAAAACATGTCATTAAAAAAACAACAAAAAGGGCGCCTGGGTGGCTCAGTTGGTTAAGCGACTGCTTTCAGCACAGGTCATGATCCTGGAGTCCCGGGATCGAGTCCCGCATCGGGCTCCCTGCTCAGCAGGGAGTCTGCTTCTCCCTCTGACCCTCCTCCCTCTCATGCTCTCTGTCTCTCATTCTCTCTGTCTCAAATAAATAAATAAAATCTTTAAAAAAACAAAAAAACAAAAAAAAAACCTTTAAAAATTTTTGAAACATTTATCTTTTTAGAAAAGTCAGAAAAACAGGTCTTGAGGTTTAGGTAAGCAAATGCAAAGGTCCGAATTAGCAAGAGACTTCTAAACATGCCTGGCCAGGCCCTCCCTTGTCCCTGAATGAGCACCACCATTGGTGGTGGTGGGGCATGTTGGCAGAATTGTTGGAAACTGCTTGCTGTTGTGAAGGTGCCAGTTTTCCCTTCAATAGAGTAATAAAGCAAGGTTTCTTTGCATAAATCTGATTTTTAAACTTAGGAATGGTTTCTGTTTTGTTCAGAGATTTATTGGATACCTACTCCTTGCCAGAAATTTTGTCTTTATGTTTACTCTTTGGCCCCTAGTCCATTTGTGGTTCCTTAGGTATAGGGTGGTCCAGGTGGAATATCAGCTCAGTTTGTGTACGTTTCCCAAACTCCATTAAATTCTAGCTTTTTGTCTGTTTTTTAAGGAGATAAAGTTCCCCCAATTAAACCAAATGCTGGGGAAGAGTCCGTCATGAATCTTGACAAATTGAGATTTGCTGATGGAAGCATGAGAACATCAGAACTACGACTCAGCATGCAGAAGGTAAGCACGTGCACACGGTGTGTCCATTCCCCTGTGCCGGGCTCAGCAAAAGGACACCTTCCACACAGAAGGCCGGAGATAGCAGCCCAGGGCAGAAACTGTGATTCTCTCATATGCCCCAGGGTGCTTGCATGTGGCTTCCTTCCTCAGACCCTCTCTGCCTTCATGTGTATGTCAAAGCCTGAAGGGGAAGGGACAGTGAAAGGTCTGAGAAGCTCAGTTCCCAGCTGGGAGCTTCCTTGTAGCAGACTTCCTGAAAGCCCAGCACATCTCATTGCCAAGAAATTAATCCCACCATCACACCCAGCCTCCAGCAGCTCTGGGAAATGTCTTTACACTGGGCCCATTGAAGCCTCTAAATAAAATCAGGACGAGAGGGGAATGTGGGTGGTGGGTAGAAATGGTAATCTGTGCACTGGTTGTCAGGATATATTTCCCTTCTAGATCAGCACATCTGATGGAATGTTCTCTGAGGGTGAAAACATGTCTTGTTCCACATGTGACTGTGGAGCCTGAGGTCTGTAGTCTGACTAAAGACCTGAATTTTAATTTTATTCAATTTCAGTTTAATATAAAGCACTACATGTGGCTACTGCACTGGATAACACAGGGTTAGATCCATAAAAATAGTATGTAAAACAGCTAGGGATCCATCAGGTTCTTCTAATACAGGGATTCTTGGTCCACAAATGAGCTCTCTGTCGAGTTGAAATCATGTACAAGAATTCCTGTGTGGAGGCATATTCCGAAAAGAAGCCCCTTGCTTTTAGTCATAGTCTGAAAAGGGTCCAGTGGCACAGACTCTCACTATCAAAAGTAAAAAGTTGCATACTGCAACTTTTATAGGACTGTGTGGTTCTGTGTTTAGGGAGACTGAGCTTCAGGGAGGCTTCCTGGAAAGGTAAGGCAAATAGCACGAGTGAAGGACAGAGGTATGTTTAAGGAAACCAGCCAAGAGGTACTGTGCAGGACTTTTATAGGGTTTTGTTATCAGGAGTTGGAGGCCAGCTGTGACAGACGTAATCACTGCACTGGATAATAGGAACTTCAGTTTGGGTGTGAAAATGGTGAATTCATGAGGTATTTTGAAATAGGAAATCCTAGAGGCATTCCCACCAAGTAAGGCACATACAGATCTTTGACTTAGGATGGGGTTACATCCTGATGAAGGTTGAAAGTGGTGTAAATCATAAATGCATTTAATACACCTCTAACTTACTGAACATCTGCTTAGCTGACCTTAAATGTGCTCCGAACACTTGTTAGTCAGTAGGAGGGAAAGCTCATCTAATACAAAGCCTGTTTTATGTGGGAGTGCTGACCGCCTCATGTAATTAATTTGAGTACTGTCCTGGAAGTGGAAGACAGTGGTTGTGTGAGTGCAGATGGTTGTTGACCTTCGGGGTCCTGGGGCTGAGTGGGAGCTGTGGTTGCTGCCTCTGCCCAGTATCAGGAGAGCGTGCCTTTCTGCACATCGCTAGCCTGGAAAAAGATGAAAATTCAAAATACGGGTTGTCGGAATGCAGATGACTTTTGAATCATTGTAAAGTTCAAAAATAATGAGTTAAACCGTCATAGGTAAGGGACCACCTGAATTGTTATCTGCTGTGTGCCAGGCAGTGTTCTGGATGCCCCAGTCGTCTGAACAAAATCCTGCCTTCTTGGAATGCACATTTGAGTTGGGGGACTAATTTTTCTGCTAATGTCTAGCTGATACAGTAAGATAGAAAAGAAATGAGGTATGTATTGAAAAGGAGTAGACAAAAGTATCATTACTTACAATTAAAAATCTCAAGACAGGGGGCGCCTGGGTGGCTCAGTTGGTTAAGTGACAGTCTTTGGCTCAGGTCATGATCTTGGAGTCCCAGGAATAGTCCCGCATCGGGCTCCCTGCTCAGTGGGGAGTCTGCTTCTCCCTCTGACCCTCCCCCCTCTCATGTGCTCGCTCGCTCTCTCCCATTCTTTCTCTCTTAAATAAATAAATAAAATCTTTAAAAAAAAAAAAATCTCAAGACAGTAAGTAAAAAACTAGTAAAAACAAGAATGAAGTAAGATATCTGTATGAAAGATTCATCAGTAGCTTTCCAGTATGCCTGCAGTAATCCACTTGAAAATTATTTCATTCACAGTACAGCCAAAAAGTGTAAAATGCCTTGAATAAACATAACCCTAAAGAGTATGAAAACATGAGCACTGAAGAATGTAATAAAAGAATGTTTTAACTAACATTTACTAAGTTCTAAGATAGTTTTTTCCGTTTGCTTGTCCTGAAAGGCCAGGACATTTGATGGTGTGCATTATAATTTTAAAATTATGGGGGCACCTGGGTGGCTCAGATGGTTAAGCGTCTGCCTTTGGCTCAGGTCATAATCCCAGGGTCCTGGGATCGAGCCCCACATCAGGCTCCTGGCTCAGCGGGGAGCCTGCTTCTCCCTCTCCCTCTCTCCCTGCTCATGCTCTCTCTCTCCCTCTCTCTATCTCTGTGTCTCAAGTGAATAAATAAAATCTTTAAAAAAATATATATATATATTTAAAATTATGTATCGTTCTGGGGCACGTGGGTGGTTCAGTTAAGCATCTGACTTCGGCTCAGGTCATGATCTCAGGGTCCTGGGATCGAGCCCCGCATCAGGCTCTCTGTTTGCTGGGAGTCTGTTTCTTCCTCTCTCAAATAAATAAAATCTTTAAAAATAAAATAAAAATGAATTTATCATTTTAAAGAAATAGATGAGATGTCTGTTAAACAGAACTAAGTCAACAAGCTGTGTTAGTCTATGGTAGAGATCAGTGGCACAAAGTGGAGTCCAGACGTAGGCCCAGGCACACGCTGTGATTGAGCATGGGATAAAGGGCTTTTTCAAGAGCGGTGAAAGGTCAGTAAGTGGTAGGAAATAGAGGTAGATCCTAAAATAAATGTCAGGTTTATTTCATGTCACACACATTTCCTAAGAGCATAAACAATAAAGCCATACAGGAATTTGACATATGAGGGGTTTTTTACAAGATTAACCAGAAGACAGGCAGGGAGGGTTCCCAGGCCTCTTACTTCTCCCTCTTCTTCGTGACCATCCACCCCATGCTCATTGCTGACCACCTCATAGTCTCAACACTTCTTAGTTTGTGTCACCAAGGGGCAATCTGCTAGCTCCTAGAACATTTACCACCAGATCTCAAAGGTGGGGCAAGACCATAGGAGCTGGGGCGCCTGGGTGGCTCAGTCATTAAGCGTCTGCCTTCGGCTCAGGTCATGATCCCGGGGTCCTGGTATCGAGCCCCACATCGGGCTCCCTGCTCCGTGGGAAGCCTGCTTCTCCCTCTCCCACTCTCCCTGCTTGTGTTCTCTCTCTCACTGTTTCTCTCTCTGTCAAATAAAATCTTAAAAAAAAACAAAAAACCCATAGGAGCTGGTGTCTCCTTGGGAATTCAAAGGTGGTGCCCTTAAACCTTTCTGCCACCATTCAGTGTATCACGCCTGAGAAGTTAAGTTTGCTTGGAATCACAGATCCTGGCCGAGTTCCACAAACTGCCTTCCCTAAATGCAAAATGTTCCACTTGAACTCATGTATGTGGATTTAAGACACATACTTAATGGGAACATAGAAACATTTTTTTAAAAGCTTTAATCAAAACTGCATTTTAACATAAATTTATGATGAAACTCTCAATGAGGCAAGTATAGAGGGAGCTTACCTCAATGTAATAAAGACCATACATGACAAGCCCACAGCTAATGTTATATTCAGTGGTGGAAAGCTTTCACCACAGGAACAAGACAAGGATGTTCACTCTCACTACTTTGTTCAACAGCACAGGAAGTCCTGGCTAGAGCAGTCAGGCAGGAAAGAGAAAGGCATCCAAAATGGAACGGAAGGAGTAAAAGTCATTGTTTAAGATGTATCAGATCACATGTGACACAGACTCCACCAAAAAAAGTTAGAACTAGTAAATGAATTCAGTAAAGTTGACAGATACAAAATCAATACATAAAAATCTGTTTCTGTTACACAAATATTGAACGCTCTGAAAGAGAAAATAATCCCGTTTACAATTGCATCAAAAAGAACAAAATACCTAGGAATAAATTTAGAGGAGGGGAAAAATCTGTACACTGAAAATTGTAAAACATTAATAAAGTTGAAGACCTACGTAAGTGGAAAGATATTCTGTATTCCTGGATTGGAAGAACTAATATTGTTGAAATATCCATATCACCCAAAGCAATCCCCAGACTCAGTACAATCTTTGTTAGAATTCCAATGGCATTTTTTTTTACAGAAATAGAAGAAACAATCCTAAAATTAGTATGGAACCACAAAAGACCCTGAATAGCCAAAGCAATCCTGAGAGAGAAAGCTGGAGGCATAGCTCTTTCCCTGATTTCAAACTATATTACAAAGGAATAGTAATCAAAACAGTAAGGTATCGGCCTAAAAACAGACCTGTGGATCAATGGAATAGAATCAAGCTCATAAATAAACCCATGTATATATGGCTAATTAATTTACAACAAAAGAGCCAAGAATACACAATGGGAAAAGAACAGTCTCTAATGGTGCTGGAAAAACTGAACAGCCACATGCGAAAGAATGAATCTAGATCGCTGTCTTACACCACACACAAAACTGACTCAAAATGGATTAAAGACTTGAATACAAGACCTGAAACCATAAAACTAGAAAAAAACACAGACGGTAAGCACCTTAATAACAGTCTTGGCGGTGAGTTTTTGGATTTGACACCAAGAGCAAAGGCAACAAAAGTAAAAAAAAACTGCTGGGACCACAACAAACAAAAAACTTCTGCAGAGCAAAGGAAACCCAACAAAATGAAAAGGCAGCCTATAGAGTAGGAGGAAATATTTGCAAGTCATGCATCTGGTAAGGGACTAATACCCCAAAATATATAAAGAACTCCTACAACTCTGTAGCATAAAAACAATCTAAGAAATGGACAGAGGATCTGAACATTCTTCCAAAGAAAACAAACAGGTGGCAGACATGTGAAAAGATGCTCAACATCACCACTCATCAGGGAAATGCTAATCAGAAACACACCTTCACACCCATCAGAAATTGTTAGTATCAGAAAGACCAGAAACACAAATGTTGGCAAGGTTGCGGAGAAAGGGGAACCCTCATGACTGTTGGTGGGAATGCAAATTGGTGCAGCCACCGTGGAAAACAGTATGAAGGTTCCCCCCCAAAATTAAAAATAGAACTGTATGATCCAGCAATTCCACTTCTGTGTATTTATCCAAAGGAAATGAAACCGCTAGTTCCAAAAGATAAATGTATCCTATGTCTATTTCAGTATTATTTATCATAGCCAAGATATGAAAATAACCTAGATGTCTGTTGGATGAATGGATAATGAAGATATGTGTATATGTTCTATATACTTTATATGTGGTGTATATTTTATATGTGTATAAACATGTTATCACTGAGGCATAAAAAAGAATGAACTCTTCCATTTGTGACAACATGGGTGGGCCTAGAGGGCATTATGCTCAGTGAAATAAGTCAGACAAAGACAAATATGATTCCACTTATATGTAGAATCTTAAAAAACAAGAAACTGAGCTCATAGATACAGAGAACAGATTGACGGTTGCCAGAGATGGGGAGTGGGTGAAAGGAGACAAAAGGTACAAGCTTCCAATTAAAAATAAGTAAGTCCTGGGGCTTGTAATGTACAGCGTGGTAATTACACTTAATTACACTTCATTACATATTTGAAAGTTGCTAAGAGTAGATCTTAAAAGTGCCCATTAACAAACTTCACTTTAAAATTCAGAGTAATGGGGGCGCCTGGGTGGCTCAGTTGGTTAAGCGACTGCCTTCAGCTGAGGTCATGATCCTGGAGTCCCCGGATTGAGTCCCGCATCGGGCTCCCTGCTCAGCGGGGAGCCTGCTTCTCCCTCTGACCCTCCCCCCTCTCATGCTCTCTCTCTCTCATTCTCTCTCTCAAATAAATAAATAAAATCTTAAAAAATAAAATTCAGAGTAATGGGCACCTGGCTGGTCCAGTCAGTAGAACACACGACTTTGATCTTAAGGTTGTGTGTTCAAGCCCCATTTGGGCATAGAGCTTACTTAAAGAACAAAGTAGAATTCAGAGTCATAGATTCAGTCTGAATTTTGTAGTTTTTAAATTTGATTTACATAAATATTTTATAAAAAATGAAATGCAGGGGTACCTGGCTGGCTCAGTTGGTGGAGTAGGATTGTGAGTTTGAGCCCCACATTGGGTGTAGAGATTACTTCAAAATAAAATCTTCAAAAGTAAAAGTGAAATGTGTAAGAAAAAATCTAAAGGGTTTACCAGTTTTAGGCATGGCTTCTTCATACTAGTTGAAGATTTACAAATGATATTTTGTGTTACAGTCGATGCAAAATCATGCTGCAGTGTTCCGGGTGGGAAGTGTGTTACAGGAAGGGTGTGAGAAAGTCAGCCAGCTGTATGGAGACCTAAAACACCTGAAGACGTTTGACCGAGGTAAGCAGTTCCATGGGCCCCTGCATACAGTTGGGGTGCCTCAGAGCCCTATCTGTGCCACTTAGTGCTGCCTTATCCCCATCCTTGCTGTTTGGGTCAAAACTGGCAAGCCCACAGTCACAGCCTGGAGGACCCATCTGACTGGATCCTGTTTCTCATGGGTGCCTTGTGTGTCCCCAGGAATGGTCTGGAACACCGACCTGGTGGAGACCCTGGAGCTGCAGAACCTGATGCTCTGTGCACTTCAGACCATTTACGGAGCAGAGGCCCGGAAGGAGTCTCGTGGTGCTCATGCCAGGGAAGATTACAGGGTGCGTCTTGACAGCACATCCCATGTGCACATCATGTTTTCTGTCCACTGGCATTGCTCAGCCCCTAACCCTGCGCTTTCTGTACATTTCACTCCATTTTCCCAAAAGGAAATTGAAAAAACTATTTTTCCCGCTGATACCTTTCATACTTTGCTATCCCTGTGTTAGTACCAGCATGACCTTTTTCTTGCTTCAGATGGGCATCTGCTGCCAGTAGCAGCACCTCTGACAGAACACTCCGGACTGTTACGAGGTCAAAGATTAGTGTGCAGTCTGAGCACTGTTGCCAGAAGGTGCTAAAATGATGAGTCAGTTACTGAGACCTGACCTGTCTTTGAGAGAGAGAGCACGTGCATGAACTCGAGTGGGGCGGGGGGGCGGGGTGGGGGGAGGGGCAGAGGCAGAGGGAGAAGCAGACTCCCCGCTGAGCAGGGAGCCCGACGTGGGCCTTGATCCCAGAACCCTGAGATATGAGCCGAAGGCAGACGCTTAACCAGCCGAGCCACCCAGGCGTCCCTAAGTAACCTGATTTTCATGCAGAGTACAGTTCAGATTCTTCCAGAACAGAGCACTCACCATATGAAAGGAAAACATTGAGGAAATGGGCACTTGAGGGCAGACACAAGTTCAGGATGGAGCATCAGTCCGGCCTGAGCCACCTTCCAGACAGATAGGCTTTGGTTCAGCAACACATGGTGTTGCTGGTAGCAGAGCCCAGTCAGCTGGACATGGCGAATGGGGAAATTGGCTACAGCAAGAGGATTAGCTTCTGATTTACTGTGAGATTTTATTAATTTACCTTTCACCGACTGGAGCTGGATTAGATTATTAAGCACATTTCATCACCTGTACTGAGGACTAGAAACTTCTCCAGATTGTGGGTTGGTCGGCAGTTTGTGTGGCTGAGGTGAACGAGTTTTCATTCAGTCACAGCAGATGTGTGAAGGGGAGAAGGGGGGAAGGAAGGCAGGGGGAAGCTGCTCCCGCAAGAGCTCACCCCTAAGTATGTGTTTAGACATAAGGGAAAGTGCTACAGCCCCACTTGATCCCAGGTGAGAGGCCTGCCTCTGCCCACCTCCCTGCTCGCCTCACTCAGCAGAAACAGTTTGAATCTTTTCATTTGTATTCTATTTTTATTTATTCGTTTATTTTTATAGAAAGCATCTTTTTTTTTTTTTACACTTGTGTGTTTTTATTTATTTATTTATTTATTAATTTAAATTTTAGGTAGTTGGCATACAGTGCAATATTGGTTTCTGGAGTAGAATTCAGTGATTCATCACTTTACATAACAACACCCAGTGCTCATCACAAGTGTCATCCTTAATACCCATCACCCACCTGGCCCATCCCCAACTCACCTCCCTGTGTCAACCCTCAGTTTGTTGTTATTTTTAAATTTTGTTTTTAAGTAATCTCTGCCCCCAACATGGGGCTGAAACTCACAACCCCATGCTCCACTGACTGAGCCAGCCAGGTGCCCCTGGTTTTTACTTTAAGTGGCTCTCGTACGTCTTACCCATTACCATGTGTAGGATACTCCTTAATAGTATTCGGCTTCTTTTTTAAGACTTTCTGAGCAAAATTTTAATATAATTGCTAAAATTGAAACATTTAAATGAAAAAAGCTGAAAGAAGAACTTGAAGTCTCCCAGAATATGAGCAAAAAGACAAGTTTTTGATGAACTTTTAAGTGCGTAACAGATAGGCTAATTTCTGCAGCCACCCTCCCAGTAGTTGTAGCAGTGGACCTCTGGGCTCACAGTGCAGCTGCAAACCCACTGCCTAGCTCTGTGGCCTCACTGGGTCCTGCCCTTGTCGGGACCTGTGCTTTGGAGGCTCTGGAGTGAAGGAACGGCCTGCCCGTGAGCCCCAGGATGGACAGGCACTCGGAGGACTGACTGCTGGCAAATGTATCACAGGTCTCATCTCTCCATTCCACCTGCATTTGGGACTTACTTGCACTGTGTTTCATACTGTGTGTTCTTTTAGGTCAGATATACACAGAATGGTTTTTCATTAGGAATTGTAGAAGGGAAGGGACATGGGTTGAAAAATGGACCACGAATGTCCCAGCTCTCTGTGAACAAGATCTGTTTGGGACAGTGGATACCTCCTCATTGAGTGGGATCTAGGGGGATTCATATCAGACTAGTCTCTCGTGTATCATTTTAATGAGTTTGCTTTGTTTTCCAGTTATATTGCCCTGTTAGAGAAATAAGAAATTTGAAGTGTAATAGTTAATGGCATTTTCTGAAATAAACTTACTTTCTCTGGCTTCAGGAGCGGATTGATGAGTATGATTACTCCAAGCCCATCCAGGGGCAGCAGAAGAAGCCATTTGAGGAGCACTGGAGGAAGCACACCCTTTCCTATGTGGATGTCAAGACTGGGAAGGTATATGGGGAGTGTGTTCTGCTCACGTATGCACTGATAAATATGCTGTCCCATACGCTCTGGAGTTGAGCATATGATGGACTAGGAGAAGCAACATGGATTTAAGTTGACTGTTGACAGATTTGAGACACCACTGAAAAGGACACTCAGGCTTCTGCCTGGAAACAGAATCCAGCATGGACGAGTAGTTTAGAAGGGCTGGCCTTCCACAGCTTTAGCACCCGGCAAGGAGTGCACGTCCAAGCCTTGGTGGCAGGGGAGGGAATGATGATTATGAAGCCTATTGAGAGTGAGGTCGGGGGATAGGGGTGGGACAGGGAAACACTCCTTTTTTCCCATTGGCCGGACCACCTGGAAGCAGCCTCAGGGAACCCCAGGGTATGCTGTGCAGCCCGAAGCATCGGCCTGGATACAGAGCAAGCAGAGGAGGGGGTGAGGTGAGCAGAGTCCTAGGAACAGCCCACTTAGGTTATAGTAGAAGCTCACAGTCTTAATCCACCAAAGCATAATTCACCCATTTGGCATTTCTGCTGGGCTTTAAGAATCAGAAATAAGACATAAAGTGTTTACCCTTAAGCTTTTCAGGCTTGAAAGGGATAGTCTTAATCATTTATGTGAGTCTACAAAAATAATGTTGTTCTCTCTTTGCCATCACTTAATACAGAGAGCCTAGTGTGTCTCTTTGAGGTAGGCAGTAACTTTCATAACTTTGCATGAAGTCTGTTTTCTGACAGTGTATAGAAATCAGACTTTCCTCTCGGTACAGTCCTATTTTTAGTAATATTCAAGGCTTTTTACAATTATAAAAGAAATACGTGCTCATTTTAGAAAGTATAGAAAGTACAAAAATAAAGAAAATTAATGTTTGTAAGCTCACCAGTCAGAGATAGCCTTCATTATCATTCCGAAATATTTTCTTCAGGTTTTGCATGTATGTGCATACACTTTTCCTTGTGTGTATGTATATAAATACAAGTAGAAAAAACTGTAAATATATACTTTAAACATAATTAAAGAATGACAGTGTATGCAGGGTTTCACTTCTTGAGCATTTGTGTAAAGCATCAAGAACTTAATACATTGTTATTTTAATTGCTGTATTTCATTACATGGATTTACCATAATTTACATGGCTGGTCCCTTGTTATGCATTTAGATCATTTTTGAGTTTGTTACTGAAAAATACTCCAGTGAGTACTTGTGTTTTTAAGTTCCTGAAATAGTCTGCAAATAACTTTTACAGCTAATTTTTCAAAACACAGTAGAATGCTGTTTGTATGTTTTTCTACAAATTTTGCTTAACTTACTGTCGATTCTTCTTTTTAAGGTTTCGTTGCAATACAGACCAGTGATCGACAAAACTTTAAATGAGGCTGACTGTGCCACAGTCCCTCCAGCCATTCGCTCCTACTGATGAGACCAGAGTTGACCAGCTTTTGTAATTATGTATAATAGTTCATACGTGTGTTCATATCATAATTATCTTTTTAAAATCCTGTACTCAAGTGAATAAGGAGTGCCATTTGAATAGATCATCTACCTGGTGGCCAGAAGCTTGCCAGTAATCAACAGCCAGGAAGTGTGAATGAAGCTTATCTTTATCCTTTGCTTCATTCTTGTGAAATAGTAAAACTGGGCATGATTCTTAAATAAAACATAAATTACAAACTTCTATTTCCAAGTCCATTGAAGAGCTTATAGTGTTTGATTTGAGGCGTGTTCGTTGACCTAAAACATCGAAATCCAGAAATTTTGTCATATATATTAAGTAAAAATGAACTTTGGTGTTGACAGCATATGAATAAAACAAACATTTCCTTCTTGTTCTCAGTAAGTAAATGGTTTAATATGTGAACATGTGTCCTGAAGTATTTAAATAGCCAGATATTAAAGAAAACAGATGAGGTGTAAATGGGTTTCTTCCTTCCCTGCTTGCTTTCAGTCCTGCTCGGGGTCCCTTTCCTACTTAGTGCTTGTCTCAGGGCTGGCTTCCATAGAATCCAGTCCACGACAGTTAGGGTCATTGATTTTACTGTTTCTCAGTTTTAGGGATTGTCTGGTAAATATGTAAAGACAGTTACATATTTTCAGAGTCCATTGTTTTTGGAACTATCCTCTCCCCTCTCTCCCCCATAGCAACCACTTTAGTTATCTTCCTAGTGAGTGTTTTAAGAGAAAAAAAAAAGCAAATCTGTATTTGCATTATTGTGTACACCTTGTCTACATATCTGGAGGTCATTCCTTATCATCAGTGAGTCTTCCTTCTTTTGGTTGCATGAATGTACCTTACCCTCCAGTGGTGGACATTTGTGTTCTTTCCAGTATTACAGATGCCACAATGAGTAACTTTGTGTGTGAAGTCCTTTTCTTTGAGGTGAAGTCCTAGAAGTGGAATTGCTGGGTCCGGGGCACCTGGGTGGCTCAGTCGTTAAGCGTCTGCCTTCGGCTCAGGTCATGGTCCCAGGGTCCTGGGATTGAGCCTCGCATTGGGTTCCCTGCTCCCCAGGAAGCCTGCTTCTCCCTCTCCCACTCCCCCTGCTTGTGTTCCCTCTCTCACTGTGTCTCTCTCTGTCAAATAAACAAATAAATAAGAATTGCTGGGTCCAGGGGCGCCTGGGTGGCTCAGTCGTTGGGCATCTGCCTTCGGCTCAGGTCATGATTCCAGTTCCTGGGATCGAGCCCCGCATCGGGCTCCCTGCTCAGCAGGAAGCATGCTTCTGCCCCCTCTCCCGCTCCCCCTGCTTGTGTTCCCTCCCTCACTGTGTCTCTCTCTGTCAAATAAATAAATAAAATCTTTAAAAAAAAGAATTGCTGGGTCCAAGGGTAAATGCACATGTCATTCTTTTAGATGTTCCCAAATTCTCTGTGATGGAGGAGAGTTCCTATTTCCCACAGCTTTGCAAAGAAAGTATGATGGCAAGTGTTTGGATGTTTGCCAATCATATAATGAGAAATTTTATCTTAGTATAGCGTTTCTCTTTTCTTTTTCTTTCTTTCCTTGGTGGGGGTTAGCATTTTTAACAGTTCTTTTGAGGTATGATTGGCAGAAGTTAATAAACATATTCACCAGCCCAGGTTTCTTCTTGCTCCTTTGTAATTTCCCCCCCCCTTTATCCCCAACAGTGCACAGGGAACCACTGATCTACTTCCCGTCGTTAGAGATGAGCTTGTGTGCTCCAGAACTACATATAAATGGAACCATACAGCATGTACTCTTTTTATTCAGTTTCTCTTAGCATCATGATTTGTGGTTCATTCACACTGCTGCACAAGCAAGGGGATGGGTGTGTTTCCTGGCCTGAGGGCTGCATCCAAGTGTCGGTTCCTGGCCCTGCTCCCTGCCACACTTCTACCACCAGAGAAAGACCCCAGGCAGAGTCGCAGGTGCTTGGGGCAAGAAGCTACAGGTCTGGTGAGTGCTGGGGGAGTTCCAAGCCACACAGTATTGAGTGTCTGCAACCCCACTGCAAATCCAGCTGTGACTGTCACCAAGAGGAAAGTGTCATTTCAAGTGGCATTGGAACATAGAACTTTTGAGTTTACAGTTTCATGAACTTTAAGGATAAATGGAACCAACTAAGAAACCTTATGCTTCATCAGCAGTCTTACTGTTAGTAGGAATATTGGTGTTCATACTTCGAAATTGTGTAGTGTTAAATTAGTTAAAGCTAGTGACTGTTAATGCTAAAACATTGTTTTCTGAGAAAGAAATAGAAATAACCTACTAAATTTGGAATAGAAATGTAAAGTGTACATTTTTTTCTTCTTTTATTATTATTATTTAGTATTTTTAAAGGATTTTATTAATTTGAGAAAAAGAGATCAGGAGCGGGAGAGGGAGAAGCAGACTCCCCGCCAAGCAGGGGCTCGACCCAGGGACCCTGAGATGGTGACCTGAGCCAAGGCAGACACGCAAACAACTGAGCCACCCAGGCACCCCTTCTTTGTTCTTTATTTTTTTTATTTTTAATATTTTATTCATTTATTTGACAGAGAAAACGAGCAGGGGGAGCAGCAGGCAAAAGGTGAGGGAGAAGCAGACTCCCTGCTGAGCTGGGAGCCTGATGCGGAGCTCCATCCCAGGACTCTGGGATCATGACCTGAGCCCAAGGCAGACGCTTAACCACACTTAACTGACTGAGCCACCTAGGCACCCCTTTTCTTTGTTCTTTAAACACACACGCACACATTTTCCAGCTCTGCCCCAATAGCAGTGGGCTCTAAGCACCTGGATTGTGGTGTCGTCTTTGTTCTTTACACACACACACACACACATTTTTCTAAGCACCTGGATTGTGGTGTCTGCTTAACACTCCTCTCTCCCCCCGCCATAGGCGTGGATTGACTATTAAAAACAGTATGTTGGGGCGCCTGGGTGGCTCAGTCGTCAAGCGTCTGCCTTCGGCTCAGGTCATGATCCCAGGGTCCTGGGGTTGAGTCCCACATCAGGCTCCCTGCTCGGCGGGAGGCCTGCTTCTCCCTCTCCCACTCCCCCTGCTTGTGTTCCTGCTCTCGCGATCTCTCTCTCTGTCAAATAAATAAAATCTTTAAAAAAAAAATAAAAATGGTATGTTAATTTATAATGGTAGTTTAAAAACAGCCAACACTGAACAAACAAAAACATAATTAATCACTCTTGGAAATAACTAGGGCACTAACTACTGACAATGAAAGTGGACAATTAAAGGAAAATAATGAAACGGTTATCCTGCCTTTTATCCACAAATTGCCATTCAGGATAACCTAGTTGATTGGGAAAAGTATTTACAGAGGAATCCCTTCAGATAAATGCGTAAGGAATGATAGAATTTAAAGACCCCGTTTTTGCCATCCCTATTGTGGTTCTGGGACTTGCATGTATATCAGAGTCACCTGGAAGGATTGTTGAATAATTCCTGACCCCACCCAGGACATCTGGTTCAGTAGGTCCTGGGGTTGGGCCTGAGAATTTGTATTTGTAATATGTTCAGGGGATGATGTGGTTCAACAAACATGAAGGAGGTGATTTTCAGGAAAAAATAACAGGTGGAAAGACGACTGACAACCTCAGACCTCCATCCCAACCAGCAGATGAAACAAAGTATGGCCAAAGAATTTTGCAGAAGTGGAAATATAAATACTTCATTTAAGCATCATTTAAGTGTTGGGACAATGAATGAAAAGCTGGCAAAGCCATGTCCATGAAGCATGATAACAGAAGGGCTGTTTGGTTTCAAAGAACTGAGGGCAGTGCCTTCCTTATGTCTGCTACTTCTCAACCAAAAATCAACCTGCAGACCATTTTCATGAGCATTCTGAAACCAAGAAAACCACTGGGGAGTAGGTGGTCTGGAAATGCAAGTTTCTGTGGGACAGAATATTTCATACTGGAAATGTTTTATACAATGTGTATGTAAGGTTTCTAAGAGAACCCACATGTAGGGGAATTGACACACCAGAGAAATTTTTTTTTAAATGTGCATCAAGGTAAAAAACTAGGATGCTGACCTGAGAGATGTGGATGATTTCTAATACGGATCCAAAGAAGCAAAAAAGAGAACAATATTCTTAAACTGTCCATAGCATTAGCCATAGCCACATAGCTATTTAAGTTCACTAAAATGACACAAAACTTAAAATTACATTCCCCAGTCACCTTGATCCATTTCAAGTGCTCAGTAGCTACATGTGGCGAGTGACTCCCACACTGGACAGCAGAGCAATCCCATCGTTGACAGTTCGGTTGGCCAACACCAATCTAGACATTTGCTAGTATCTTACATTAAACAGCACGTATGATAAGTTGACCTCCACTTAGTAGGACACCTGAGTTAAATAAAAAGTGGTAAGTCATTCTCTTTCATACTGAATTCTGACAAGAACCTTGGTTGGAAAGGAAGAGGAGGCCTGGACACAGTTGGCTCTGTCTCCTAGAATTCTGCACCAGAGTCTGTAAAAGGGAAAGTGACAGGGAAGTTTTCTAGCATGTAAAGGTCACAGTGCAAGCCACTGGTGGTCTGATGAAAAAATCAGGCACAAACAACGAATCAAAGTGGCTTCAGAGGGAAAGATGTTGGTGTGGATACATACACAATGTGGTCAGCAGCCTCCCAGTGGGTCTCCTGGCCTCCACCTCACCCGTTCATCTTCTGAAAACTGCCCAATGTGAGCTCTTCAGACGAGACAGGCAATACTTGCTGAGATCGCTGGGATTTCATAGCTTCCCTGGCCCTTCTCTGCCCTTTGATTCCAATGGTGACTGAGTGAGGCTCCATCACTTGGCCTGAAGGGCACCCCTCCACCCAGATCCCGGTCCAGGCAAGAGCTGCCCCAGGGAAGCTGTCTGCGTGCCCAGATGCCACTTCCCAGGTCAAGTAAGTTGCGGAAGCCTTGGGCGAGCCAGAGGGAACATATTCTCTCGCCTCTTCTATGG